GCCCTGCTCTCAAAAAATAAAAAATAAAAAAATAAAGGCAGATAGGGATATAAAGAATGAACCAAGGCAAGCCCAGCCAGCCAGCAGAGCAGACAGTAAGTCCTGTATCTGTGAGCCCCACCTCTGCCTCCCTGAGCTGCTTCGCAGGTGGGGTCAGAGGCAGGCAGGCCATCAAGCCAGCCCTGAGGACCTTCTAGGAATGTGGAGCACAGAGCGTCTCTGGCCACATGTCACTGCAGTCAAGAGCCCTTTTCCTGTGGGTGCAACCTGGTGCCCCCTCTACAGCTGGGCCAAGCACTTGCCCTGTGGATGCAGCACCATGGGCGCGAGCCCACTTGTGTCCTTCCTTAGGACACCTGTGTGTCAGCCTCAGATTCAGAAAGTGGTTGACACTAAGTCATACAAACTAAAGCCGCTTGGGCTGGCAAGACAGCTCAGCACACTCAAGTGCCCGCTTAGGCAGGTGCAGGGACCAGGCTTGATCGCAGGTGTGCCCTGCCAGCGCCACCCCTTGAGCACGCTGAGAAGGCATTGAGCCTGGGCACGGTAGAGCGCATTGTAATCCCAGTGCGTGGAGGGCTGAAAACTAGAGGACCACTAGGAGTGCAGCCACTTTTTTTTTGCAGAACCACAGATTGAACTCAGGCCCCTGTGTTTGCCAGGGAAGGGGTTACTCTACTGAGCCATCTCCCCGGCCCGTGTGTGACTAACTTGTGTATCTGAACATCTCCCTCGTCACTAAACACTGAAGAGGGATCAAACCACATAAGCCAATTTCAGTCATCCTTAGTTCAGTCTTCCAGTCAGTATTGCCAGGATTCCGGCCAGAGTGGGAGTCGTTCAGTGTTCGTGCCACAGGCGGTCCCCCACTTCTTGTGTACACATGACATCTCTCCATGAGTCCACACATGTTCTTGGCAACGTCTGTGTCCTCTGACTACTTGCCCCCATCGCTCACATGCAGAGCATGCCTGTGTACATGTGCTCCAATCTGTCAAAAAGGCGTTCACACAGCGAATACACACACTGCATCTCTATCGAGTCCCTTTTCCTCTGGTCACCTTGGCAATGGAAAGACTCCCCACACTGCTTACCTAGTCCTACCCGGCGTGACTTCTTTCACGTCCTTTGAGCCCTGTGCCGTCTCCCCACCCTGCCACACTCGTGGTTTCTCCACTGCATGAGTCTGTCCATGCTTGTGATAGGCACGACGTGTGCTGAATGCCCTGCCACACTGCTCACACGCATAGGGCTTCTCCCCGGTGTGAGTCTGCTCGTGCATCTGACACTTATTGCGTGTGCTGAACGCCCTGCCACACTGCTCACATGTGTAGGGCTTCTCCCCGGTGTGGACCCGCATGTGCACCTGCATGTTCCCCTTGCTGCTGAACGCCTTGCCGCACTGTGGGCACGGGTAGGGTTTCTCCCCGGTGTGCGTCCGAGTGTGCACCCGCGAAGCGCAGCGCGTGCTGAATGCCTTCCCGCACTGCAGGCACGGGTAGGGTTTCTCCCCGGTGTGAGTCCTTTTGTGCACATGCCAGCTGGATCTGCTGCTTAAAGCTTTCCCGCACTGTGTGCACACATAGCTTTTCTTCCTAGTGTGAGTCTTTTCATGTGCTCGACACCCAAGATACGTTCGAAAAGCTTTTCCACAGTGCTTGCACGCGTAGGCCTTGTCCTGACTGTGAGTCTCTTCGTGCCTCTGACAAGAACTATGTGCGTTGAAAGGTCGCCCGCACTGCTTACAAGCAAATGGCTTTTCCCCGGTGTGATTCCTTTCATGTATGTGCTGACCTTCTTTGCTACTAAAAGCTTTCCCACAGTGTGTACATACGTAGGGCTTCTCCCCAGTGTGAGTTCTTCCATGTTTTTGCAAATTATGAAATGTTAGGAAAGATTTTCCACATAGCTTACACGAATATGGTCTCTCCCCAGTGTGAATTACTTCATGCATCTGACACCTATGATGTGTTACGAAGGCTTTGCCACAGTGCTTACATGCGTAGGGTTTCTCCCCAGAGTGCGCCCTTTCGTGGTCTTGCCAGCCTTCTTTGCTCGTGAAAGCCTTCCCACACTGCGCACACGTGTACGGTGGCTCCCCGGTGTGAACACGCTGGTGCAGCTGGAAACGGTAACGTGTTCTGTAGGCCTTCCCGCACTGCTTACATAGAAACGGCTTCTCTACCGTGTGAGTCTGTGCATGTCTTCCACAATAACTGCTTGAGAAAAAGGCTTTCCCACAGTGTTTACACACGTAGGGCTTCTCGCCAGTGTGAGTTCGCTCATGTATCTGCCAACCGCACTTGCTGGCAAATGCTTTGCCACAGTGCTGACACACATAGGGCTTCTCCCCAGTGTGAGCCCGCTCATGAGCCTGACAAGTACGACGCACGCGGAAGGCTTTGCCACACTGCTGACACACGTAGGGCTTCTCTCCACTGTGAGTCTGTTCATGCTTCTGGCAATTACCTCGTGTGACAAAAGCTTTGCCACACTGCTTACATGCATAAGGTTTCTCCCCAGTGTGGACCCTTTCATGTATGCGACAGCTAAAGTGTCTGTTGAAAGCCTTCCCGCAATACCGACACGTGTAGGGTTTCTCCCCGGTGTGAATCCGCTCGTGTATGCATGCGTTCACTCGCTTGCTGAAAGCCCTGCCACAATGCTTACACGCGTACAGCTTCTCTCTGTTGTGCATCCTTTCATGCTCTCTAAGAAAATATGGCGTGACAAAAGCCTTGCCACACTGTGTACACACGTAGGGCTTCTCCACACCATGAGTCCACTTATGCCGTCTCCAGGATTCTCTTCTGCTGAACTCTTTCCCACACTGAGTACACACGTAGGGCTTTTCCCCAGTGTGGGCCTGGTCATGAATTTGCCAAGTGTATTTTCTGGTGAAAGCTTTCCCACACTGCTTACTAATGTGGGGGTCCTTCTCAGTGTGACTTGGCTCACGGTTACCCAACGCACCATCCGCGAAGGACTTCCTACAGTGTTTGTGCCCATGGGCTTGTTCTCTGCAGTGAACAACCTCATCTGCTTGAATATTGTTGGGAGAATTAAAAGTACTTCCGCGTGGCTCGCATGTATACAAGTTCGCTTCACAGTGACACCTTTCTCCAATTTCAACATCCGTGGTTCTCACAAATGAACCAACATCTGCTTTCTCAGCAACTGAACTGTCTTCAGTGAAATCAGAG